CTTACGGACGGACCATAAGAATCTGTGGCCACTTTGTTCCAGCCCAAGTGCAATCTCTTTCACCTGGGCTTCCCTAAAACGCCCTATGCTTCCAAAGCACAAGAACACCACTGATTTTTCTGGTTGATCATCAAGCCATTCCATGATCTTACCATGTCGATCCGAATTTGACCCCATCAGACTGTGCCCATTGACATTGAGCAGCGGCCCCACTGTGTAAACTGGGGGTGTACCTCCACCCAAGAATGAGCTGACTGCATGGGATTCCAGCTCTACAAAGGAATTGACTACGATACCCTTAGCCTCTCTGAATCTCCTCCCAAGGTTTTCAAAGCAGGTGTACCCACCATCCTTGTTCAACAGCACTGATGGCAAAACCCTAGCAGGCACAGGATTGGCAAAACAGGAAACAATCAAGTCAGGATCAGTTTCTTTAAACTCAATCCCAACCTGTTCTTGCCTAGTAGGAAGATAGAGCAAGAGACCCAGAAAAGCAGCACTAGAAGCGAAGTAAACATAAGAAGAAATCCCAAGTTCATTAGCAACATCAATCATCGAAGCACAGAACAGGTCAACAACCAAACCAACAACCGGTACTGATGACTTGCTGGACATGACATGGTTGACCACAGCATCTTTTACAAGGGGCTTATGAGCCTCCATGAAACTGGTAACATAGTTTTCAGGGGACCTCAAAGGATCTAAATCAGGTGGGGTTACTGTAGGAAGAGTGATGTATTGTATTCGAGTATCGATGGTGATGAGCTCTGATTGATTGGAGGTATCTGTGTCAGGACCAAATGGTGCTCTGATGATGACAAGAACTGTTATTAGGAAACTGTCATCTTGATCAAGTAAGCGCTTGGCAAATTCGATAGCGGGGAAAAGATGGCCAATCCCAGGTGAAGGGACAAGAACTAGCTGCGCCTTCTTCATTTTGAAGCTATGGCCGGTGGCTGCTGGTGGATCGGATCTACTCTCTCTCTCTCTCTCTCTCTCTCTCTCCCCCTCTCCCCCTCTCTCACTATATATATATAATATTAATTAGTTCAACATATAAACAGAAAAAAGCAACTCCAACATCATCAAATTACAAAATACACATGGTGGACCCTACCCTTCTTATGGACCCTACTCTCCATGTCATTTCAATCACCACGTGTCCTCTTCTGCTGCCTGCATCATCACCCTCCATCACCTATCGCAAGCTGTCAGTGGGAACACCGTACAGCCCGCATTCCAAAACTATCTATTACGGAGCATAGTCGTTCATTTTAACGCTTTCTGCCGTGTATCGAATTAATTTTTTTAAAAGTAAGAAAAAGTTAAAAGCGTGAAGAATTTATTCTGTCAAAATAGGTTGATTTCAAAATTTCCCCACTTATTTTTTTTATTTGAGTTTTTAATTACACTACATGGAAGCTAGTCTAAATTAAATCCATTAAAATCTAAAACAATTTTAATAATTAATAAAAATATAATTTATTTTAAAAAAATTCAAGATAATAATTTTTTTAAAAAAAAATATAAAAACAATAAAAAAATAGATCGATCTCAATCTTCTCATTACCCGAATTATAGATTCTATTTAATTTAATAATTTTTTTATAAATAATTTTTATTTAATTATATAATAAAAATATATACTCATAAAATTAAGAATCAACTTAAAAACACACTTATTTGAAACAATAATAACCTTATAGAAAACAAACAAAATAAATCATATAGATTATTTTTCAACCAATATAATATTGAAAGGATAAAATTAAGAAAAAAATTAAAAATAATTAAAGGACTATAAATAAAAAAGAAAACATATTCAATCAGTGAGTAAACTTATCAAACCTGTAAACCGGGTAACCTGTGTTAGCTCATCAAACCTGTGAACCAAGTTATAGACTCTAGTGAAATTATAATTTATTTTTTAAAAAAAATATTTTTTATTTAACTATATAATAACAAAAATAGATGATCACAAAATTGAACATCAACCCAATATCAAGATTCTAACCTAATTATATTTTTTTTTTATTTAACTATATGATAACCAATTATGAAACTGAATTCACAATTATTCTAATATCTAAGAATAAAACTAAAAAACATAAAAAATAAGAAATAGTTAAACTCGCTAGACTTGTAAACCGGGTTAACTGATCAAACTAATTGTGAACAAGTTCATAGACTTCATAAAGTTTAATAATATGATTTTTTTTAAATATTTTTTTTTACTATATAAAAAAAAGTAAATGATAAAAAAAGAAGTCATGTATAATTATAAAAAAAGGTAGGCAATATCAAACTCATAAACCGAGGCAACTTGAATTATTTGACAAACTCACAAGTCATGCAACCTTATAGAAAGGTAAAATAAAAAAAATTACAAAGTCAGATTCTCACCCATCACAATATTAAAAGATGAAATTGATTAAAATAAATTTGAAAAAACAATTCTAAAAAAAATTCAATAACATAAAAAAAAAAGCAAAACACTGTGGATTTCTATTGTAATCCACAATACAATGGATGTTGGTAAACAATAATTTCCATACCCTTTAGTCTCCCGCCAATTTTTTTTCATTGAAAAAAATAATTTAGGAGAAGATTATATTTTTAAAAAAGTGAGAGAAATTTAATGACTAGGTTAAATCCTGATTAACTTAATAATATGATAAAAAAATGAGTCAGTAACAATTTTTTTTTAAAATATTGCCTTGGGCAAAGCTCTAGAGCAACAAATAAGCCAAAAAAAGATGTCAACTTTTATTAATTTTAAAATTCATGATCTAGATCATTATACCAGAAACAATGTACTTGAAAAAATCATGAAGTTTAATTCCTAGGAATGAAAACGTTGAAGAATTTAATTAAAAAATAAAAATAACACTAAAAAAATAGCAATTAAAACAATTATGATTAAAATTAAAATATAAAATAAATTAAAAGGAAACAACAAATTTTCAATTTAAGAATTCAATTGAAAAAAAATAAAAACATTAACAAAAGAAACGAAAATCCAAAAGAATGAGGTCTAAAATGAAAACAAAAGCAACATCCTATAAACTTGGATTAAATAGTGAAATTAAAAATAATATAAATTTTATAAAAATATCAAGAGAAAAAGATTAGAAATCTAAAAAATAAGGATCAAATTAAAAACATCAATACATGATAAAAAAAAAATTTAAACATGTAGAATTTTTTAATGTGTTTTTTTATATGATAAAAACCCAACATGTAAATTAAAGGCTTATGCACGCATATAATTAAATAAACCAAGAACCATTATGCAATGAAAGTTTTTTTTTTAAAAAAATAATTAATGATAAATCAAAATAAAATTAGAAAAATTGATAAATAAATATAGATAAAAATATTTAATATTGCAATAAGAATTATTTACCTATTTATGTTTAATGAATTTGTATATTAGAATCAATATGTAATAAAAATTGACACACATATAAAATTTATTGAATAAAAAAACATATTTTGCAAGGACACACACTTTAAAAATATTATAAAAAATTAAAAAAATATTTTTAAAAGTAATTTTAATGTATAAAAAAATTATAGATAAATTATACTAACCTCTTAAAAAATTAAATACATCTAATATAATTAAAAAATAATTATTATTTAAAAAAGACTAAATAAGCAAAAAAATATTATAAAGAAGTAAAATACAAACTTAAAAATTGTTGAAAAAAAGACATGTAAAGAAGAGGTTTAGATTAAAAAAAATCAAAATTATATATATATATATATAAAAAATGAGGTAGGCTGAGCGCTTGACTCGTAAAAAAAAGTACAGAAAAAATTCAACTTAAAAAAATAAATGATGTGTTTTTTGGAATTCCTAGATTTCAACCACCACAGTGGCTAGAAAAATAAGGTGATTAGTTTTTTTTTCCTCTTTAAAACCTTATTTTTAATAAAAAAAAATACATAAAAAACATTTTAAAAATCTTGTTAAATCAAGTCATAATTTGTAGAAGGGTAAAAAATCATTTCAAAACTTAAAATAAACTCAAAACTAAAAATATTATTGAACTTAAACTTTATAAACTTGAAGAAAAATATCAAAAAATAAAATTAAAAATTAAAATTCTACCTCACAATTCTATTGACTTGAAGTTTTATCTTTTTAACTTGCTATTTTTTAGTATATAGTTTCCTTCTGTGTCAAATGTATTATTTATGTGATGACCTCAAAATTTTTTGAATTTAGAAAATGAAAAAGGGACCACTTTGACAACCTAATTTCTAAACTTTTTTTTTTTTATCAAATTCATAGAAAACAAAAGCTTTCCAAGCAATCAAAAGAAAGATCCTGATAAAATAGAAAACTAATAGAAATCCTTTTCCATTTTATTTATTAAAGAAACTTGAAACTATGACGAAGGCTGATAATGTAATATCTGTTAACTATCTCAGTGGTAAAAAACATGGGGTTAGATTTCTAGTCCTCGAGCCAAGTCCTGCACTCTTTTTTATGCTCTAAGATCGCACCTACTCTTGACCAATTTATGGTCACTCGATGATGACCTAATTAACACATGCATAGCACTAATTTTTAACACAATCTCTTAGTATTTAATCTGCAATTTTTAATTCCGAACGAAATATAATCTTAAATCTTATCCTCTTAATATTTCTTCTCGTAATTTTTCACCTCATACCAAACACAACCTTAAATAAATCATTATAAATCATTAAATATTTTAAAATAAAATGTCATCAATCCACTTTATAACCACTTAAAAAATGGAGGAAACATAAACACGAAAGAGAAGCTATCCCAAGATCATAAAATTCCACAATCAATAATAAAAAAGAAAACGATTAAATACTACAAAGCACAACAATATATATAGTCGATGCAATTATTGTTGAAATTGATACATATTGTTTGAGGAACTTAATTAAAATCCATGGTGGGAATGCTAAAAAATATATATTAAATGGTTCATAAAGTTTAAATGGTAGAAAAATCTTCAAGATAGCATGATTTCAATCAAGTCTCCAAATGCAGCAAATGAAGATCCACCCGCCACCACAGCTTTCCTGCTAGCTTCACTCACTGCTTTAACCCTGTCTCTCACGGTGCTCCCTTCCTCCATCAATGATTTTACAGACTTGGCTATCTTATCAGCCACAACAAGTTCATTAGAACCCATCCTATAATCTAATGTCATTTCTATGGCTAGTCCCAAATCATTCACCGTTTGAAATGCATTAAGTTGTTGCTCGGCATACATTGGCCATGTCACAACAGGTACATCATACCATAAGCTTTCCAAAATCGAGTTCCATCCACAGTGTGAAACAAATCCTCCCACAGCTCTGTGGGCTAGGACTTGTATTTGGGGAGCCCATCCACATACCATGCCAATATTTTTTGTTCTTTCCAAGAACCCGTCTGGCAAAACCTCTTCAAAGTTCATGTAATCACTAGGCATTGCAAATTGTCCTTCCGGTGGTGGCTTGCGAACGGAACATAAGAATCTATGTCCACTTTGTTCCAGCCCAAGTGCAATTTCTTTCACTTGAGCCCCACTAAAACGCCCTAAACTTCCAAAGCACAAGAACGCAACTGATTTTTCTGGTTGATCATCAAGCCATTTCATGATCTTGCCATGTTGATCATCCAGATTTGATTCCATCAAACTCTGTCCATTGACATTTAGTAGTGGCCCCACTGTATATACTGGGGGTGCATCTCCACCCAAAAAAGAGCTGACTGCATGGGCTTCAAGCTCAGTAAATGTATTGACGATAAAACCTTTAGTATCTTTAAATCTTCTCGCATGGTTTTCAAAGCAGATGTACCCACCATCCTTGTTCAACAACACTGATGGCATAACCCTGGCAGGCACAGGGTTGAAAAAACAGGGAACAATCAAGTCAGGGTCAGTTTCCTTGAACTCAATCCCAACCTGATCCTTCCTTCTTGGAAGATGAAGCATGAGACCAAGAAAGCCTGCACTAGAAGAGATGTAAACATAAGAAGGAATCCTAAGTTCCTTAGCAACATCAATCATTGAAGAACAAAACAAGTCAACAACCAAACCAACAACCGGTACTGATGGCCTTTTGGACATGACATGGTTAAGGATAGCATCTTTTACATGAGGCTTATGTCTCTCGAGGAAAATAGAAAAATAGTTTTCTTGGGACCTAAAAGGGTCATAATCATCAGGTGGGGTTACTTGAGGAAGAGTGATGTAGGATATTCGAGTATCGATGGTAGTGAGTGATTGATTGAAGGTGTCTACGTCAAGAGCAAACGGAGCTTTGATGACAAGAATTGTGATTAAGAAACTTTCATCTTGATCAAGCAAGCGTTTGGCAAACTCGATGGTGGATACAAGGTGGCCAATTCCAGGAGAAGGGACTAGAACTAGCTGTGCTTTCTTCATTTTGGAGCTATGGCTTATGGCTGTATGGTGGTTAAGTTGCTATTTCTTGTTCTCGAGACATGCTCTTATACCGTGTTGTCTCAAGACTCGTGTATTTTTTTTGGGAGCTATGGCTTATGGCTGTATGGTGGTTAAGTTGCTATTTCTTGTTCTCGAGACATGCTCTTATACCGTGTTGTCTCAAGACTCGTGTATCTTTTTTTAAATAAAGATATTTTCGAATTTGTTTATACGGTAATTGGGATTAATTTATTTTTGAACAATGTTAAAGATATTATGCATCATTCATATTAACCTTGTGTATTCATTTTTTTTTTATACGAGCTATATATCCAAGATTCGAACTTAAAAAATGACGAAATTTTATTTTATGCGAGCTATACATCCAAGATTCGAACTTAAAAAATGACGAAATGGAGTATACTTTATCTTCTAATTATCATATTGGATTAAATTTTTATTCTTACTTCTAATATGCATTGATTTCGAAGATAATTTTGCTGTTGAAATAGAGGAAAGATGCTAATTCCTTGTTATTTATATATATTCTTGTATAATACGTCCTCGAGATTGTCTTTGTAAGCCAAGTGTCAACCAAAAAGTGCCATATTTCTTTGTCACTCCACGGCATATATAGCCGAATTGATCATAGGATGGTAGGGATCAAGTGTTCAACAGAAAGGTCTCATTTTTCTTTGTTGCTACACGGCCGGCGTTGCCGAATTTATGAGAAGCAGGTAGAGATCAAGGGCAGAATCATTTGTTGAAAATGACTTAAAACCTAAGAATGTCTGGTCGGATATGTGTTTAAATTTTAAGATTTAGCCCAGCCCACCTATTCAGCATTACAACCTCATGGACCCAGACAATTTAAGCCCATTCGATGATAAAATAGACTGGTTAATTATAAAACACCTATAAACTAAAGGTTATTTTCAATATTACTCTTTCTCATAGCCTTGCCTCAAATTTATTTAAAATTAAACCATATATTTTAAACATTAAAAAACTATTTTTTAGTGATATATAATAAAAAAAATTGACAAGTACAAAGCTACTTATCCTTTGAGTAATATCAAAATATTGGTATATTAGTTAATAATTTATTTTTTATTTATTGATTTTTTAAGTTTAAACTAAGTAGCATTTGACGAAATTTATTACAATTTTTTCTATTGATATGAGAGATGGAAATGAGCGGTGCTCTCTTAAGATTCCATGGGGAAAGAATTTAATTTTTTGTTAAAATGCAAATTGGTTCAAAAATACTCCTTAAATTTAAATAAAAACAAATTATTAACTTATACTAAAAAGTTTTGGTATTTTAGTGAAGCAATGAATAGAAAAATGCCAAAACTCTTTTCATTTGAATCCTTAAAATTTTTGAGCATTTTTTTAAATTTTAAATTTATATTTTTTTTTAATTTTAACCTTTAATATTGAGTTTATTATATATTAAACTTCATAATTTATTTTTTAAGAAATTATCTTGATTTTATGAACATGAGTCTTGCAGGTTAGTCTTATTAACTCGAGTTATTTTTCTAATTAATTCTTTTATTAACTTTATTTGATTGAAAATTAAATTTTATATATATATATATTTTTCAATGTCTCGCTATCTAGATTGTAAGTTTTTCAAGTTCACCAAACTTGTTTTCTATGGAATTATTCCGGTCACTTGACTTGGGTTGAGTCAAATCATTTTTTTATTTTTTTATTTTATTCTTTAATATTGCATTGATTGAAAATTATACTTCATATCTTATTTTAGTTTGCTTTCATAAGGTTATTCAGTTCTTATAATCTGAGTTATGGGGTTGGTCGGTTAACTCAGGTTAAATCAAATATTTTTTTTTTAATTTTTTTAATGTCTTCTTTCAATATTAGGTTGAATAAGAATTAAACTTTATATATTTTTTAATTTATTTTTTTAGGGTTATCCTAATATTATGATTTAAGTTTGATAGATTAACCCGGGTTGACGCGACTTATTTTTTAATTGAAGTTTATTTTTAATTTTATACTTCAATATTAAATTGATTAAGTATTGAGTTTAATAATTGTTTTTATTTGTTTTCTATAGAATTATCAAAATCTCATAACTTAAGTAATAGATTTAATGGATTAACTAAAGTTGATTCAAATTAATTCAATATTTTATTGTTTCCATATATATGTATATATATATTTTAAAATATCATCTTAATTTTTTTTATGTCAAACTACATGAATTATTTTTGGATCATCAAGTCAACTAAGTCACATCAAGATAATCTCTCTATATTTTTTTTTTACTAAAATATATATTAACAACTCTTAAATATTTTTTTTTATGTTAAAAAAATTATTCTAACTTGTATCATAGGGCAGCATGAATAATGATTTAATATATTTTAACAATCTCAGAGGATTGAAGTGAATAATGATTTAAAAAGTCTGAATTTAAGTTTAACAATCTCAGAGGATTGAAGTGAACAAATCTATAAAATTTAAGCTCTACACTAAATTAAAAAATTAAAGGGGTATTTAGTCCCGTGGTTGAATTAGTGTTTTGAAAAAAAAATTTAAATTAATTTTTTAAATACTTGTAGATTGTTTTGAAAATTAAAATATATATTCTTTTAATATATTTTTGAATAAAAATTACAGTAAAAACCAACTTCTAAAACTGTGAGAAACACTCCACGACAGGAGTAAAGAGCTTCATCTACCAACCAGAAAAACTAACAATCCATGGCCATGGCCTCCACTTCTTCATCATCACGTCCAGTGCTGCTCTCAGACCCTTCCCATGCCCCATCCAATAAACCCCGAAAGCTCCTCTCTTTACAATCTCACTATCACCAAGCCCATCTCTTAAAACCCCATCAATTCGCTTTCGCTTAAGCAAACTTTGTCAAGAAGGCTAGCCCAATCCTGCACGCCAACGGTTTGACACAATTCCCCGCCCAACAAGTGTCATTTGTAACACCATTGTAATTGGCTTCATGTGCAAAAACTTGCCTCTTGAAGCCATTTTGTTCTATTTCAAGATAAAAAGTTCCAGTCAAAGAACCAAATTTGATTCATATACTTACTCTTCTACGCTCAAAGCTTGCGTTGAAACGCGCCGTTTAAAGACTGGTAGAGCCATTCATTGTCATCTTATTCGATGTTTATCTTATCCGAGTAGAAATGTGTATAATTCCCTTTTGAATATGTGTTCTAGTTGCTTAAGTAATGTGGTTTGTTTGAGTTATTTTGATTACTCTAAGTATGATTTAGTGCGTCAAGCTTTCGATAAGATGAGAAAGAGAGATGTTGTTGCTTGGAATACTATGATTTCTTGGCAAGTGTAGGCAGAAAGATATGTAGCCGCAGTTAGGCTATTCAGGATGATGATGAAAATGGGGATTAAGCCGAGTCCGGTTAATTTTGCCAATGTTTTTCCTGCGTTGAGTGTCAGAGATCTTAAGAATGCCAATGTTCTTTATGGGATACTTGTTAAAATGGGTAGTGAATATGTGAATGAATTGTTTGTAGTGAGTTCGATGATATTCATGTCCGCGGAGCTTGGATGTGTTGATTTTGCTAGGAAGGTTTTTGACCATTGTTTGGAGAAGAATACGGAAATTTGGAACACTATAATTGGTGGATTTGTATAGAATAATTTTTTGGTTGAAGGTATTGATCTTTTTCTTCAAGCCGTGGAAACAGAACAGATGGTTCTTGATGGAGCTACCTTTCTATCGTCTTTAACGGCTGTTTCGCAATTGCAGTGTTCGGACTTGGCTCAAGAACCGCACGCCTTTGTAATTAAGAATCTAGCAGTATTACCAGTGATGACGCTGAATGCAGTAATTGTAACATATTCAGGTCAGTCTTTAAAAAAGGCAATCTTTACCTAATTATTCAGGTCAGTCTCTTAACTTCATGGTCTATGGTAACATATTCAGATTCTTTCTGGAAGAATTTTGTTGCAGCTTGGATTGGTCTGGTATTATTCATGGTTCTCTTCATATCATGAAACATACTAGAATTTGATGACCTGCTAGCTCGAATTAGTTTGATTACAGTAGTCTAGTATGAGAACAGAAAGAAAAGGCTCTAGGCTATATTAGACCATGTTGCCATCTGAACAAAAAGCTATTCACAAGAGAAGCACCTATCTTGAATTTTCAGCAAGAGCTATGCAAGCCACACATTTATTTAGTCCCCACTCAAATAAAGACCACAAACTAATTATCTTCTAGTACCATCCTGGCCAGCACAGTACCTCATCAGTTATCTTCAACATTGCTTGAAAAAAAAAAAAAAAAACTGAAGCAAAACACAACGAAATCTCTAATACATGAAGAAATCAGAGCTAGTTTTTGTCCCTTCACCAGGTGTTGGTCACCTTGTACCGGCAGTTGAGATTGCAAAACTCATGGTCAAACGTGATGACAGACTCTCCGTAACTGTTCTTGTCATGAGACGCCCACCATTAGACACCAAGATAAACAGGTACATTGAATCAGTCTCTGTTTCAATATCTGATCATATCCAATTCGTTGACCTCCCTAATGATGAGAAAACGAGTTCTGGCATCAACTTCCTTAGTTCATTCATCGAGAGCCAGAAACCACACGTTAAAAATGCTGTCTTCAAGCTTGTTCAGTCTGAATCAAGCTCCGAGTCACCTCAACTTGCTGGATTTGTTGTTGGCATGTTCTGTACAACAATGATAGACGTGGCAAACGAATTCGGTGTTCCTTCATATGTTTTCTGTGCTTCAAGTGCCGCTGCTCTCAGTCTTATGCTTTATATGCAGGCTCTAAATGATGAGAAGAATGTGGACACCACCGAGTTTAAGGACTCAGATGCTGAGTTCATGTTACCAGGCATCATTAACCAGGTTCCTGCAAAGGTTTTGCCTTCTGTAGTGTTTAATAAAGACTGGCATCCTATTTACTTCGGCAATGCGAGAAGGTTTAAAGAAGCAGAAGGTATTATGGTTAATACATACGTGGAGCTTGAATCCCAAGTAATCAACGCCTTCTCCGATGGTAAAACCCCTCCTTTGTATCCTATTGGTCCTATTTTAAATCTTAAAGGCGATGGTCATGATGGGGGTTCAGCCGAGACCAATAAAAATAAGGACATCATGGAATGGCTTGATGATCAACCTCCATCATCAGTGGTTTTCCTGTGCTTTGGGAGCATGGGAAGCTTTAGTGAGAAACAATTAAAAGAGATTGCAAGTGCATTGGAGCATAGCGGGAATAGGTTCTTGTGGTCCGTGCGCCAACCTCCACCAAAGGGTAAGATGGGATTCCCAGCTGATTATGCAAATCCAGAGGAAGCTCTGCCCACAGGATTCTTAGATCGTACGGCTGGGATTGGGAAGGTTATTGGTTGGGCCCCTCAAGTGGCCATTTTAGCTCATCCAGCTATCGGTGGGTTTGTATCTCATTGTGGTTGGAATTCTATACTAGAGAGCTTATGGTTTGGTGTTCCAATTGCTGCATGGCCATTGTTTTCAGAGCAACAACTAAATGCCTTCGAGATGATGATTGAATTGGGATTAGCAGCAGAGATTAAAATGGATTATAGGAAGGACTTTAGAGCTGAAAACGAAGTGATTGTGAGTGCTGATATTATAGAGAAAGGAATAATGTCTGTTATGGAGCAGGATAGCGAAGTCAGGAAGAAGGTGAAAGCCATGAGTGAAATGGGCAAGAAGGCTTTGCTGGATGGTGGATCTTCGCACTTAATCCTCGGTCGTTTAATTGAAGATATGATGAACAATTTGAAATGAAGCAACAAAAACAGTTTGTAAGTTTGTTTATTTTTGAGACATATCTAATATATTTGAATAGCTCATCTGATTTCCAAATCATAGCCTACTCCATGGAAACAAATTTTCTTAATTTCTTTTCTTTTTAAGCATTTACGTTTCAATGATTAATTCTAAGTTCCAGCGCCAACATATTTGCCAAAAAGCATCATGTTTCATCAAGTATGAGTAGTCTTTAAACTAGTTAAAAGGTTAGTACCTTGGGGTCATCAGCTAAGCTAGCTAAGACAATCTCAACATGTCCTTGCCATTTTTGGACCAGAGCTTATCTCCTTCCTCTGTCCACGCTTGAATGCCACCACCGAAACTCACTGCCATGAAAGTCAATCCATCATTCTCTAATTTGATGAACTGAATGTTCAAACATATAAATATGCATCCAACTCTACACACCACAAACTCATTTTTTCCACACATCACGAACTCCTTCAAAACAAACAGTAATAAAAGAAAGAATCCAGTCTCTTGTAGCCAAGTTTTTAGTGAATGCAGAAAACAGAGCTGGTGTTTGTTCCTTCCCTAGGGATTGGCCACGTTGTTCGGCCACGTTGTTCAAATGGTAGAGAGCGTAAAACTCCTTGTTCACCACGATGACAGAATTTTCATCACTGTTATCATCATCGGGATAGCTTTGGACTTCAAAATCAGCAAATACACTGAGTTACTCATTGCCACTACCATATTCACTCGTATCCAATTCATTGACCTACCCAGTGATAAAACAAACGCATCACATTAATGATCATCCCTCCAAATTTATCACTTCTTCGATTGAAAGCCAAAAGCCCCACCTCAAAGAATTTGTTTCAAACCTCATAACTCCGTCCAAGTAAAACTATATGCAGAGTGTGAAGGTGAACATGTACTTGAGTAAAATTATATATTTTAAAATATTTAAGAAATGTTTTTTTTATAAGTGGGGTTTTAAATACTCTTCATTTTGTATTTGAGACTTATTGTTAAATGAAATAAATTTTTTATTTTATAAAATATAATTCATAAATATACCTTCTTTTTTTTTTATTAAATGAAGATCTTGAATTATTATCCAAATGAGTAATATTTCCTGACCTGCTCGATTATAAGCTCCTCGATTTTGTTCTGGACATGTTTCTTACAGGATGACCTTTGCTACATTGGATTCTCACAGTCAAACATGGACTTTTCTTCGGAGCCGCAACTTTAGTATTATTTTTTAGAATAAACATTTAAATTATTTTTTTGGGTAAAATAACACTTTTTTTTAATGAAATAGTATGATAGTTTGATATATACGGATTAAAAAACAAGATAGCTTGATATCTAAAAAATTCATTAAATAGACTGTCATAAATTATAATTATGTTTTCAATTATAACATGTATAGACTACTCTATTTTAATAAAATCTTCTCTACCTTTATTATTTTTGCCAATAATTTTGTTTATATGGTGTTAATAGGTTAAAAATACCCAACTTTATATTCATTCCAAAAGAAGTGGAAGCTCATGGCTTGCCAGATTCTGTGAAAACTGGCCGGCTAATTTGACCAAAAGTTGGAATATTTTTCGAGAGAGTCCAGTGACTTTTCTTTCTTTAAAAGCTACTGAAAAAAGGGCCCTTTGCTGGACTAAATTATTATAGAAGAACTTTCTTGGTCAACATTCTTTGGAATTTTTACAAGTCTTTGTTGACAAAGCTGGGTTGGCACCGTCTTATAACGTTCCAGTCCAAGTTGTACTTCTTTTGGTGGCTAGCTGCAGATCTCAGCCCATTTCCTAGAAATTTCACAGCCAGCAGACAATCATACCACTAATTCTGGGATTAAGGATTATATTTAATTCGGACAAGATAGAATAGCTCAAGACATTCACTGTGAGGGAACATTATTGTCCCTCCCTGCAAGCAAGAAAATTTTTTTTCAAGCAAAAATGAAGAAGGCAGAGGTGGTGTTGATCCCCATACCTGCTATGGGTCATATTGTAGCACTAGTAGAGGTAGCTAAGCTTCTTGTTCAACGTGATGATCGCCTATCCACAACTGTCTTCGTAATGCATCCAACTCTTGATCCTAGCACCACCAGATATACTGAAACACTTGCTGCCTCAACTCTCCCTGATCGTATGCGAGTCATTAACTTGCCAAATCTTGAGTCCATAACATCTGCTACCAAAGGTCGTCACTGGCTAACGTGTTTGATAGAAAGCCAAAAATCTCATGTCAAAGAATATGTATCCAAGATTAGAACTCAGTACGAGTTAAATCCGGATTCTCCTCGACTTGCTGGGTTCATTTTCGATACGTTTGCTACTGGGATGAAAGATGTGCCTAATCAATTTGGAGTTCCATGGTATGTTTTTTCTGCTTCAGGTGCAGCTTTTATTGGTAGCATGTTGCATCTTACTGCTCTTCATGATGAGCAGGGAGTTGACCTTACCGAGTTGAAGAACTCAGAGGATGAATTGAAAATTCCGTGTTTGGCGAGCCCAATTCCTGCTAAACTTGTGCCTTCCATGGTGTTCGAGAAAGACTCACTGACTACTTTTCTTGAACATGCTAGGATATTGACCGAGGCTAGGGGTATTTTGATCAATACATTTTTAGAGTTCGAATCCTATGCAATTAACTCTCTGTCAGATGGTAAAACCCCTCCCGTGTACCCGGTTGGTCCCATTGTGAAACATGTAGGAGATGGTGGTGATCCGATGTCGGATGAGAGCACCAATTATAGGGACATCATGGAATGGCTTGATGATCAACCTCCATTATCGGTTATATTCTTATGCTTTGGGAGCTGGGGAAGTTTTTAAGAGGAGAAACAAGTGAAAGAGATTGCAATTGCACTTGAGCATAGCGGGCATCGGTTCTTATGGTCTCTACGCAAACCTTCACAGAACGGTAAAAAGCAATCTCCGAGTGATTATCAAGATTTTCAAGGTATTTTACCTGAAGGTTTCTTAGATCGAACAGCTATGATTGGGAAGGTAATTGGATGGGCTCCGCAAGTGGAAATTTTAGCTCATTCAGCCGTCGGAGGATTTGCATCACATTGTGGATGGAATTCTACACTAGAAAGTGTAAGATTTGGTGTTCCAGTTGCCACTTGGCCATTATATGCAGAGCAACAATTTAATGCTTTTCAAATGGTGATTGAGCTAGGATTAGCCGTGGAAATCAAAATGGAATATTGGAAGGATTTTTATGGTGATAATGAAATAATTGTGAGCAGTGATGATATATTGAAAGCTATAAACAGTGTTATGGAAGAACACAGTGAGGTCAGAAAGAAGGTAAAGGAGATGAGTAGAATAAGTGAAAAAACCTTGGTGGATGGAGGATCTTCATTTTCTTCCTTAGGTCGTCTAATTGAAGATATGACGGAAAACATGTCATGAGTCGATTGTTTTGAACTTTCCTCTAAGCAATCTCTGAAATAAAAAAGGAACAGTTTTCCTCTTTTTTTCGCTTATGATTCCATATTGCAATTTATGTATTAAGAATGATTGTCATGGTCAATTAATCAATAAATGTATTTTCCTTCGAAAAGATTTTTTTATCCCCATCAGTTTTGTATGCATCTAAAAACAAATTCTCAAATACTTAATTCCAAACAAATTGAAATGGGTGCCAATACCCCCATTGGCTACAATCACTTAAAGGTCTTGTTTGATAAAGTTATTGAAGTGTTTTTTAAAGTGTATTTGAAAAGTAAAAATATTGAAATGGACTCTTTTTGAAAAAAAAAATGATTTTAATAGAAAAAATTGAAAAACCATGAAATTAATGTGTTTTAAATTAAAGGAAAAACACATACAATAGACAATGCACACACTCAATAATATATAACAACGTGAGATTAATAATAAAAATTGGAGTATATAAACATGCACTTCTTCTTTACAGATTAATTAAGCAGTCCAAAAGAGTGTCCAATGTCTAATTATAATATTTTTATGTAGAAGTTTCCTTATATATTTTTAAAGTTATTATTTTTAATGTAGGAGTTTTTTCTTTTTGAAAAAAAGCAAATATGTTTTTTAGTTTTTTATCTTAGAATTACTTTTTTTTTAATTTTTCTTTAGTATTATTATTTTTATTTGTTTAAAGGGAATAATTTTTATTTTTCTATTTAGTTTTAATTGGATTTTCTATTTTTTTTTATATAAAGAGTAATAATAAACTTTTGACAAGTCTTACTTAGATGAATTAAAATTAAATATTTCAGATATTTTTTTGTGGTTATTTTTGTATTTGATATCACTACAATCTTAAAAAAAAAATATTTCTCATATCTTGTTTTTTTATATAGCTTTTCATTATTAAAAATCTTAAATATTCAACAAAGATTCTAAAATAACTGATTATGTTAATAAAAAAATACTATCATTTCTAGAATAAATTATCATCTAAAATTTTATACTTTAGTATTAATGAGTGTATATAGATTAATACTTTTGATTCTAGTGTTGATAAATACTAGAATTAATATTCCTAACTTAGTGTTAATAAATATTAAAACTAATATTTCTAATTTTAATATTAATGATTATTAAGAGTAACATTATTAATTTTGATGTTAATGAATATTAAAAATTAATACTAATTGTAAATCCATTTATTTCATATCTTCAAACAATCTCATATTAGGTTTTAAAATGAATATTGGATTCGCACTAATGGAAAATACTAGACTTTGACCATTTTTTTTTAAAGATACTTGTAATTTACCGATTTTCATCCAACAAAAAAGTTTTTAATTTGTCAAGAAAATTAAAAATAAAATAAAAAATACCATAATTTTCTTTGTCTAACACCCGTGGTCTGTTGACGAGACTTTTCCTTTCTAAGATTCCAAAAACAACGATTTTTTTCTCTTCATTGTCAATTTCTTTTGTTATTATCTCGTATTTAAAAATTATAAAAAATAAAAAAATATAAATTTATAAGTTGTTGTTGATAACTTGATTAAGACTTGATTGAAAATAAATTATTATCAAAATACTAAATAAAAAATATACCCGTGGACATTCTAGAGCTTGGTCTAGCGGTGTAAGAGACTTGTCTTCTTTCACTGCACTTGGGTTCGAGTCTTGGCGTGCACGTCTGTCATCCTTACGATGTCTTACATATCTACTAGGTTTGCAGGGTATTTAGTAAGCCGTGAGAATTAGTCGTGGTGCACGCAAACTAACCCGAACACCGCATATAAAAAAATAAAAAAATATATATATACTCGTGGTTTTCCAGCCCAATAAAGCTTACATCATTAATAAGTTTATTTTTTCAACCATAATTATTAAATTTAGTCTAAATTAACTAATTTATTTGGAAAATTTAAAACTTAAATTAATATCAATGTACTAATTGGAAAAATACACCCACGGTTTTCCAGCTCAATAAAACTGAAATTAATTACAAGTTTACTTTTTTCAAATATAGTTATTAAAACTTAGTCTACTTAGATAAATTGATTTAAAAAACATAACACTTAAACAGGCTTGGGCTTTTACTTGAATATATAAAGCTTGATTTATTCGGGTGAACCCAATTCTAATATATATATATATATATATATATATTGTTTTAGCTAAAATAATTCACCCGATAACTTATATGATAACTATGTTTCCAACTGCTTCATTGGACTGTTTTTGTAAACATCTATGGGCTAGTAGCCGTTGAAATTCTTAAATTAAATGCATGTACGTAGTTAATCGCCAGCAAAGCCATGACATCACTCTAATTCTAGACCTTAAATATTTATATCACGAATAAGATCATGATCACTTCCACGCATCCTAAGCAGACCACCATTGTTCACACCAGAAACAAAGATTTCAAGCAAAGAATGAAGAAAGCAGAGGTGGTGCTAATCCCCTTACCTGCTATGGGCCATATTGTAGCAGTAGTGGAGATAGCTAAGCTGCTTGTTCAACGTGATGATCGACTTTACACAACTGTCTTGGTAATGCATCCCACTCTTGATCCCAGCACTACCAAGTACAATGAATCACTTGCTGCATCAACTCTCCCTGATCGTATGCGAGTCATTAACTTGCCCAGAGTTGAGTCCATAACATCAGATACTAAACCCAATAACTGGCTTAGTTCTTTGGTTGAAGGGCAAAAACCTCATGTCAAAGAATATGTTTCAAAGATAAGAACTCAGTCTGAATTGAGTCTTGATGCTCCTCGCCTAGCTGGGTTTATTTTTGATTCTTTTGTTACAGGACTGAAAGAAGTAGCCAATGAATTTGGGTTACCATGGTATGCTTTCTCTGCTTCGGGTGCAGCTTTTCTTGGTTGTTTATTGCATCTTCAGGCACTTCATGATGAGGGAGCGGACCTGACTGAATTCAAGAACTCGGATGTCGAGTTGAGGATTCCGAGTTTGGTGAACCCATTTCCCGCTAAACTTTTGCCTTCTGTACTGTTTGAGAAAGAATCGATTACGACTATTCTTGAGCAACCAAGAGCATTGGCCGAAGCCAGAGGTATCTTGGTAAATACATTTTTGGAGTTTGAATCCCATGCTATCAGCTCTCTTTCCGATGGCAGGACCCCTCCAATATATCCAGTGGGACCGATTGTTAAACATAAAAGAGACGGTCATGATGTGGGTTCGGAAGGGAGCAACAGTTACAGAAACATTATTGAATGGCTTGATGATCAGCCTCCATCATCAGTTTTGTTTTTGTGCTTTGGAAGTGGTGGAAGTTTTAGGGAGAATCAGGTGAAAGAGATTGCTTGTGCCCTAGAGAAGTGTGGGCATCGATTCTTATGGTCCCTACGTAAACCTCCACCGAGAGGAAAGTGGGAGTATTCACCGAGTGATTATGCAAATTTTCAAGAAATCTTACCGAAAGAGTTTTTAAACCGGACAGCTAAGATTGGGAAAGTAATCGGATGGGCTCCACAGGTAGACATATTGGCTCATCCAGCCATAGGAATGTTTGCTTCGCATTGTGGATGGAATTCTATACTAGAAAGTATAAGGTTTGGTGTTCCAATTGTCGCCTGGCCATTATATGCAGAGCAACAGTTCAATGCCTTCCAAATGGTAATTGAGTTGGGATTAGCTGTGGAAATTAAAATGGATTGTAGGGAGAATTCTCATGGTGATAACGAAATAAATGTGAGTGCTGATGGTATAATGAAAGCAATAGAGCATGTGATGGAGCAAGGTAAAGAAATAAGAAAGAAGGTAAAAGAGATGAGAAGAATAAGTGAGAAAACCTTGACGGCTGGTGGATGTTCGTATTCATCATTGGGTCGTTTGGCTGATGATATAATAGACAACCAGCCATGAAACAACTGCGCCAAACTATCCTCTGAGCGATTACTTACAGTAAGCAATTATGATTTATCTATAAGAATCTATGTATTAAGAATGTTAGTCGCGGCCAATAAATTTAATCTTTCCTTTCTTTAGGAGAAAAATATTTTTATAATCTCTTGTTTTGTATTGGAAAATAATTTTACCAATATGAGATTCTAAATCCACGAAAGCATTTGAACTTCCAAGTTAGAGGCGAGGTGGCTTATGGTTTTATGCTAGAATGTGTTTGAAACGGTTGTGGACTTGCAACCCTTGATAGGTTGCGAGGTCTCTTAATAATAAAGTTAATAGAGAAGCAAGGCTTAGAAGCTAAATGAAGCTCTGTGTGTGAGTTGTGAATACGGTTTATGTGTGTTTTAAGGTTGAGGGAGTTGTTTATTTAGATATTTAGACCCTTTATATGTGTTCATAGATGTTTATATAACCACGAGACATACCAACCCTTTATATGGGAGTTCATAGATGTTATATAACTATAAGACATGTAACTTGCGTAGAAACAAGAACACAATAGGAAAAAGAAAATAAAAAAACATTTCTGAACATATCATTAGGTACCATCATTCAGTTAAGTGTTGATCGGGACCAATCACTAACCAATTATTCAATCATATTACTTTATCCAAAGGAAATTAAGGAAAAAAAAACTTGTTTTAGATCTAAGAACAACCTACTGGATCTGTCGGAGTCACCAACCATTGTTGGATCAAAACAGCACAGAATCGACGCATGATGGTCATGCGCTGACAGTTTAAAATTCAATCTTTTCACATTATCGGATACTTATTTAAAATATACTTGCTTCTTGTATTGTTATCTAGTATTTCAATATTAAAAAAACAATATATCAAAAATAAATTTACAGTAATGCATCAAAGTAGATAACTTGATTAAGATCCCACTGAAAATAACTTAATCTAGATATACTAATTTAAAACATACCCACGATTTTAGAGTCCACTGATTAGGTTCCAAGTTTATTTTTTCTAACTGCTCCGTTGGACTGTTTTTTGTAAACATCTATGGGTTACTAGCCCTAGAAATTCTTAAATTAATGCATGTATATGGTTCATTGCCAGAACAGCCATGACATCAGCCTTTAGGTCGAGACCTTAATTCATTATATATTTTGATCGAGATCGTGATCAGTTCCACACATCTTGTGTAGATCACATTTGTTCACAGCAAGAAACAAAAATTTCTAGCAAAGAATGAAGAAAGCAGAGGCGGTGCTAATCCCCTTACCTGCTATTGGCCATATTGTAGCAGTAGTGGAGATGGCTAAGCTTCTTGCTCAACGTGATGATCGACTTTACACAACTGTGTTGGTAATGCATCCAACTGTTGACCCCAACACTATCAATTACATGGAGTCAATTACTGCATCAACTCTCCCTGATCGTATGCGAGTCATTAACTTGCCCAGGGTTGAGCCCATAACATCAGATATTGAACCCAATAAATGGCTTCGTTCTTTGGTTGAAGGGCAAAAAACCCACGTCAAAGAATATGTTTCAAAGATAAGAACTCAATTCGAGATGAATCCGAACTCCCCTCGCCTTGCCGGATTCATTTTCGATACGTTTGCTGCTAGGATGAAAGATGTGCTTAATGAATTTGGAGTTCCCTGGTATGTTTTTTCTGCTTCAGGTGCAGCTTTTATTGGCAACATGTTGCATCTTACTGCTCTTCATGATGAGCAGGGAGTTGACCTTACCGAGTTGAAGAACTCAGAGGATGAATTGAAAATTCCGTGTTTGGCGAGCCCAATTCCTGCTAAACTTGTGCCTTCCATGGTGTTCGAGAAAGACTCACTGACTGCTTTTCTTGAACATGCTCGGTTATTGACTGAGGCTAGGGGTATTTTGATCAATACATTTTTAGGGTTCGAATCCTATGCAATTAACTCTCTGTCAGATGGTAAAACCCCTCCTGTGTACCCGGTTGGTCCCATTGTGAAACATGTAGGAGATGGTGGTGATCCGATGTCGGATGAGAGCACCAATTATAGGGACATCATGGAATGGCTAAATGATCACCCTCCATTATCGGTTGTGTTCTTATGCTTTGGAAGCTGGGGAAGTTTTAAAGAGAAACAAGTGAAAGAGATCGCAATTGCACTTGAGCATAGCGGGCATCGGTTCTTATGGTCCCTCCGGAAACCTTCACAGAACGATGAAATTCAATCTCCCAGTGATTATGAAGATTTTCAAAGTATTTTACCCCAAGGTTTCTTAGATAGAACGGCTAAGATTGGGAAGGTAATTGGATGGGCTCCACAAGTGGAAATCTTGTCTCATTCAGCTGTGGGAGGGTTTGCTTCACATTGTGGATGGAATTCTATACTGGAGAGTTTAAGATTTGGTGTTCCAATCGCCACTTGGCCATTATATGCAGAGCAACAATTTAATGCTTTTCAAATGGTGATTGAGCTAGGATTAGCCGTGGAAATCAAAATGGA